GACGTCCTGCTCTAGTCAGATCTACTCATGGTCCATAGTCCTTCCATGTCTTATTGATGGATTTAACTGGACTCCAGAGATATTCAGTAACTTGGAGATGTTCTTGTATCGTCCTCTGACTGATGCTTCTCAACAACCTTTCCCAGAGTTCTTGGAGGGTTCTTCAGTCTTCATGGGGTAGTTCTAGCCAGGAGTACTGATCCACCAGTGACTGGATCTTCTAGTGACACACACATATGAACAGAGTGAAATCAGATGCAGATTTTTAATAAAATGCAAATGAATGACTTGATTGTGTTGAGAGAAGGATTCAGAGGAGAGAAATTTAAAAAAAAAAGAAGCTTTCTTCAGGTGTGTGAGTGATGTCATGAGAACGAGTTTCTGATTATATAAAAACAGACACACAAAATAACACACTGTGTACACACACACACACATGACTATACGTTCCCACACACGTATTTACAGAGATAATTCCACGTAAACATACATGTGCACACACACGCTGAGGTGAAGCTGTGGGAAAGGAGGTAATTGTTGTTGTGCTAACAGGCTAATTACCAGCACACACACACACACACACACACACACACACACACACAGCTGTGGGGTATAAAAGCAGCTGCAGACTGTGTGTTTCTGTTTCTGCTGGACGACGACACTTCAACGCGGTCACCAGGTATGAACACACACACGTCAGAGGTCAGGATGAGCGATAAGCGTTATCACATCTGTGTGAGTCAGTCACACCGATGGCCTTCATGTTTCTCTGGTGTCACATCAGTAGAACGTCTGCTGCACAGAGAAGCGACCTGTAACTGGTGATGAACCAAAGGTTTCTGCTGAGCTGTGCAGACGTTCGTTCCTTCTGGTGTCTGCTGGAGAACAAAGCTCTGATCCACACTGTGATTCAACCTCCAGCTGAGTTCTGAGGGGAAACTGAACCTTCAGTCCCAAACTTGTCCGGGTCGGTGTTCAGGTTGCTGCTCGGAGGAGAAAGCAGGATTCTACCTGCAGCCCACATCCTCTGAGAGCGACAGCGCTGCCACCATCAGGCCAGACTGTGAATTACGGCGCTGCCCTGCGTCACTGTATTATTGGAAGCGTTGGAAATGTTTACAGCCTCTCGCTGTGTTTCTGTTCAAGCAGACATTTTAAAGTAGTATAATAAAAGTACATAAACAGTGTTGCTTCCCTGAGCTGCTTTGGAGAGAATAAATAGGCTGCATAGTGTTGTCAGAAGGGGGCGCTGTGAGCTGTAATAACCAGAACACAAGCAGTAAATCCACTTGTTTGTCAGATGCTAAAAAAACAAAACCTTAAAGACGAAGAAATCAAGCAAAGCTGGTCCGTCTACAGAGAATAATGAGAGAAAAGTCAGGAGATGTTTCTGTGATGATTCTTTAATGTCAGCTGTTTTATTCATGTTGGACGTTTCAGATCATTTTCGATAAGTCGGACTTTCCAGCTGGTCACAGTGCTGCTGTATCAGTCCCACAGTCTGCCACGACAAAATGCTTCATTTACATTTTTTGCAGGAACGTCAATCAACTAATCTGTAAAACAGTGTCTCGACTGTTTGACTGAAAAAACAACAACATAATGACATAAACCAGGCTGGGGAGTGTCGTCAGAAGGTGGCGCTAGAGGCTGTGTTAGCTGGAATAAACAGAGCGGACAAAGACAAAACAAAACGTGTTTGCCAGGCGCTAAAAAACCTCAAAAATAAGAGACAAGCGTTATTTTGTGGAGAATGTCGGCTGTGGTTTTCAGAAAAGTTTTTCTGTCGCTCATGAGGCTGATTGACTGTTTAGAAAACGACAGGCGACGTCTCAGGAGAGCAGAAAAACTTTTTTGTGACATTGACAACATTTTGTTGCTGATGTGATTCTTTGAAATAAAGAACGCTGCACAAACACAGGTGGCGAAAGTCAGCATGATCCTTGACGTGTACCTGAAGCTACCTTCGGCTGTCTGTCTGTCCTCCATCCACCCCGAGCTCCTCCTGAAAACAACTCGATTTTTCCTGATGTGTTTCTTTAAAAACGCAGCGACCTGCTGCAGGTGTTACAACCTCACAGGTTCACTGGCCAATAGAAAAGCTTCGTCACATGATGTCAGACCCCTGTGTGACATCATCATGACATCACAGAGCCGGCAGCGTGTCTGCAGCGTGCATGTTTCTGTGTGTGCGCAGCCTGGAGGCGGGGCTAACCTTGACTGACAGCGTGGTTGCCGTGGCGACCTTCAGCTGATCAGGTTTCTGTGAGAGTTGGACTTTCTGCGTCTCCTCTCTCCTCCTTTCATCCCTCCTTTCTCCTGGCTGCCTCCTCTCCTCCCCCTCTGTTGTCTCGCTGTTGGTTTCAGTCTTTGCATTATAATTTCTCTCTTTCAGAGCTGCGAGGACGCCGAGGTAGGCTCCAACTCTCTTCCTGTTTCACACTCTGACTCTGAGGCTGAACCCAGACCAGCTGGAAGCGTCTGAGCAGCTTCGTCCTTTAGGTTCTCACTGATCCCGGTTCTCGGCTCATTGTTCAGAGGCAGCAGAACCTGCGCCGGCTCATGTTTAGTCCTGTTGGTTTTCACTGTGTCTCTTCCAGCTCTGGTTCTGCTCATAGAAAGTGGAAAAGTCTGGAGGCCTTTGTCAGTGTTTCTGTTGCAGCGATTCAGCTCATGTTTCGTTATATTTAGTCAAATGAAGCAGCAGAAGTGTGAGCAGAGAATCCCTGATGTTCAGACCAGCGTCAGCGTCTGAACTGTGTTTAGGTCACAGAAGAACTCTGAAGTCTGGACGAGTGTCTGATGTGTTCTGCTCTGATGTTTGTTAAAAATCTTCTAACAGGTTTGAACTTTTACAGAAACAAGTGTAATGTCAGTGATCATGAAAACTCCGTTCTTAGCCTGTATTAGTTTATATTTGGAAACTAAATCAGTCAAACTGTCGCCGGTTCTGAAGGAAACTAAAATCAGACGGCGTTTAAAGGGAGTTCTGAACTGCGGTTCTTTTTTATTTCACAGGTTTCTTTTGTATTTTAAAAATGAGTCAAATGAAACACAGCAGAGTTGGATGAGACGCTGTGTGAAGACTCGTGTTCTACTTCATATGATCTAGATTCAGATGTTTGTCGTTGGAAACAGGTTGTTTTGGGGTTTTTTTACATTTTTTACATCGTAATGATAAAATAAAACAGCTGCTAATGATGAGCTGATTATTTGTATTATAACATTAATCGACCACATTTAAAGGTAGTTTGATTGTTTTTATTCAAGCAGAATTTACTGGACATTTAAAAACGGTTCATTCCAGTTTCTTAGTTTTTGGTGCCGGTGTTTCTGGACCAGAACAAAGCTGTCACATCAGTTCTACCTGCAGGATTCCTGGAGAACCACACTGCTGCTAGAACGTCATCCAGACACCGAAGATGTAAAGACGTCCATTGGTTCAGGTTTAAATATGACATCACACAGTCTTTGAGCTCCGATTGGTCGAGTTCGGGCTCGTCAGGATGCAGCATCAGTTTCAATCCACCGGTTTTCATTTTCACACAAAGACAAGAAAAAACGTCCCCAGAAGCTCGTGGACCAGATGAAACACGGAACTGCTCTCCGACTGACGCTGTGGTTTCATAGAGCTGCTGGAGGGATTTACTTCAACAGCTCATTACTGTCCAGCCGACTGCAGTTCTCAGAAAAATAAAGGTGGAACCAATGGTGGTTCTTCACTGTGATGCTGTAGAAGAACCATTGTTAGTAAAAGGTTCTTTAAAGAGAGGTCTCAGATGTTGTTCCAGGGACCTGCTGCCGTCACCATCCTCATCTTTTCTCGCTCCTCTCAGCTCTCGGTGCTTTTCAAGCTTCTCAGGTTCCTTCTTCTTGACATTGCTGCCTTCTGCTGTTCATCAACGCCGGCGATCAGCCGCCACTTGATCCTTCTGGGTTTGGACACAGGATCTGCAGGATTCCTCCATTTCCATCCTGGACTTCCAGCCCAGAGTGTGTCAGCTGCTGTTCTGTTCTGTGGGTCGACCGGCCTCTGCTGATCTTGGGATTCCTCTGTTCTGTCTTTTAGATCAGCTTTTCCAGCCACTGCTGTGTTTTCTCAACATTATATAGGTATAGGTATAACCCTATCATCAGATGAGCCCCGTCCTGATGTCCTTCCAGCCTGGACAGTAGCTCTGACGCTCTGACTGGGAGATGCAGTTTGTTCAGTGTGTGTTGAAGCCGTTTGTTCTGCAGCAGAAAATGATGGAACATGTTTAGAACGGGGCTGCAAGGTGGCGCAGTTGGTAGCACTGTTGCCTCGCAGCAAGAAGGTCGCCGGTTCGCGTCCCGGTGGGGGGCACCGGGATCTTCCTGCGTGGAGTCTCCGGGTTCTCCCCGTGCAGCGTGGGTTCTCTCCGGGTTCTCCGGCTTCCTCCCACAGTCCAGAAACATGCTGAGGTTAATTGGTGATTGTAAATTGTCCGTAGGTGTGAATGTGAGTGTGCTTGGTTGTCTGTCTCTAAGTGTAGCCCTGTGATAGACTGGTTACCTGTCCAGGTGAACCTGCCTTCACCCTGAGTCGGCTGGGAGAGACTCCAGCCCCCCCGCGACCCTAGTGAGGATTAAGCGGAGTATAGAAAATGGATGGATGGATGTTTAGAACGTGGTGTGAATGAAGGAGGCGTTCTATCAGTGTTTGTGCTGAGTCGTGTCTGTCCGATCTGCTGACTCATTGTCCTCTGGACGTCCTCACCTGCCTCTAGTGTCACCTGACAGACTGAGCAGAGTCAGACTCGCTCTGAAGTCATGACAGCTGCAGTTTATGGAGGCAGACGGCTGCGGTGCATGATGGGAAATGTCTGGGTCTCACCTGATCTAACAGCTGATTGGTTCAGATGCTGACTCAACAAGATGAGAGAAAAGAGACGTGACTGGTGAGATGCTGAAGGTTTGGTGGATGTTTGTCCTACAGAAGCTGAAGAGACTCACATCAAACACTGTAGATCATAAATACAGTCACAGTAACATTTAGTTCTGGTCTGTCCGGGTGGTCCTGGTTTCTTTCTGCTGTATCAGTGACGGGTTTGGGCTCCTGGTTTATGAAAGCCTGATCTGGAGCTGAGCTGCAGCGTTTTAATATTCTGTCAGAGTTTAAACCATCAGAGACGAAAAACAAACTCAGACAACGTTTTATTTAATCACTGTTCCTTTTAATATATTTTTTTGGGCTTTTGCCTTTATGTAGAGCAGTGGAGAGAGACAGGAAAGGGGGGAGAAGAGTGAGGGAGAGACCTGCAGCAAAGGGTCGTGAGCGGGATTCGAACTCACAACCGCTGCGTGGGGGACCGTAGCCCCTGTTCATGGGTCGCCCGCTCAACCAGGTGAGCTATACGGGCGCCCCGCACTGTTTCTGTAAGTTCCTGTTCAGACTGAAGGAAAGGACCTGATCTGGTCCGATTCAGTCGGACCCGGTCCCTGAAGCCAACAGAGTGACCTCTGACACATTATGGATGAACTTTCAGCTGTTCTTTATGATAAAAACTTTTCATCTTGTTAGACCCAGTTCTTTTGTTGAAACAGCTCCAAGAAATAGTCAGAGGAGAGTTCAGGTCTCAGGTTAAACAGTTTGTTCAGGTCACAGGTAAAGTTTTGCTGGATTCAGACAGACAGAGAACACTCTCATGTCCAGCTGAACTGAGTTTTTTCTGTATCAGGTTCCAGATGTGTTCTTGGGCCGGGCCTGCCCCGAACATAGACAAGACTCGTACGCTACTGAGTTTAACTGGCCAGTTACCGATGGCGTGGACAGCCATACCTGTTCTGTGTTCTGTCCACGTCCTTGATATTTGGTGAGCAGCATGTGTGGATGTTGTTGGTGCAGCGTGTAGCTAAAGCAACAATCCTGTCTGATAGAACAGAGGAGCCTGAACCTGAGAGGAGCTTGGACCTGCTGCCCAGAGTTCTTCTCTGTAAAACCATGATGTTACTGAATGTTTAAAAGATCCTGAAAAAGCCTTCATCTGAAGAACAGTTCATGTTCCACCTGCAGGGAACCAGGGAGGGTTCTGCTACTGGACTAGAAGGTGCTCCAACTTTCATGATGCTCTCCACAGGAACAGCAGACTGGATCAATCAGCAGCCATCGACCCGTTCTGAGTCACTTCTGGCTCATGTTGAGTCGTTTCTAAGCAAGCAGCGGTTTGTAGATTCACATGAACTGAGTTTGTAGACTGCAGATCCATGTCTGACCTTCTGTGTTTGGTTCTTCAGGTTCTGCTGCCCAAACTCCTGCTGAACATCAGACCTCATGAGCCTTCATCAGAACTCGGTGGGTTCTGCACAAAGATCAATAATCAATGAGTGATCATTACCTCCTGATGCGTGATGTTCCTTCAGTCCAGTGAATCCTGACGTGGTTCTGTTTGATTCTGTTGATTCTGTTGCTTCATGTGTCTGGTGACGTTCAGATGATCAGCTGTGACTCATGTTGACCAGAAGTTCTTCTCTACAGGAACATCAGAGGATCGTTCTGCTTCATTTAGTTCATCCTGACGTCAGCCTGCCTCCAATAAATGACGTGTGAACAGTGAACTCTCACAGAACCTCTGAAGGTTCTGCATGTCACGGTCCAAGACCTTTTTATAAAAATAATTTTCCAACAATTTCTGTCCTTTTATTTTATGGTTTTGAGTAATTTATGACAAATTTAGTTGTTTTTAGACAACTTTTGTTCATTTCTGAGGATTTTTTAGAATTCATTTTGACCTACTTTCTGTCATTTTTGACCATTTTGAGTCATTAATGACTTTAATTAATGTTTCTGAGTCAATGTGGACTCTGTTCGATCATTATGGACCCGTCTTCTGTGACTTTGGACATTCGCTCATCTTTTCCTGCAACATTCACTCATTTTGACCAGTTTTGTTTGTAACAGATTTGAGTCCTTTGGGACACTTTCTGACTAGTTTACAACCATTCTGGATAAATCTGATTTCATTTAAGTTTGAGTCACACATTGAGGCCGAGAGCATCTAAAGGACTAAAGTATGAAGATGTTCTCTGATCTGACCGTGTGCTGCAGGTTCCTCTCTGTTCTCCATCAGTTTGAGTTTAATTTGAATCAGGTTCCTCTCTGCAGCCTCCTCGCTGCCTCAGGGATGAAGAAGACGAGGATCTCAACAAAGCGTTTGATGTTCCAGGTTTTCAGCAGATCCTTAGTCCTGCAGCTCGCAACCCGCCGGAGAAACACCGGGTTCTAGATGAGCAGGACATCGAAGGTGAGACATTAAATGGGTTCCAGACGTTCTCAGAAAAACCCCATCGGTTCTTCAAGCGGTTCTTTGATGAAATGGGGTTCCAGGAAGTTCTCCTGGAGAACATGAAGACGATTTCCGGGGTTCCTAAGATCCATAAGCCTCAACATTATTTATTTGTGTGGGTTCCATCATCTTTGATGATGTTCTAAAGGTAGATGGTTCCTAAAGTTCCTGCTTGTTGACTTGTGGACAGCACGGGGTTCCATTAAAGGCTTCTGGGAGATTTTGATAAGGTTCTCTAAAGCAGCTCTTGTGGTCTCTAAAAAGGGTCTAGCATTGATTATTTATGGATGAGTAGTGAAATGGCCTCCACCCGGGGGTTCTGTCAGAATAACTCCCGGTTCTCCGGCTGCAGAACATCGTCACTCCTCCCTCCACGTCCATCATCCTCTTTCGAAGCCGCTCAGCGACAGCAGGAGGAAGAGAGCCAATGAGGGGAGGAGGGAGGACAGACGAGGCTCCGCCCCCAGCACCGCAGCCACCATAGAAGAAGATGAGGAGGAGACGTTCACCGACGGAGAGGAAGGCTGGACCGCCAGGTGAGTCGCACCTGTCCTGGCTCACCTGTGCATATGATTAGCTGGATTTGAACCTGTGACTCCTCCCTCTCACAGTGACACGCCCACCTTCTTATCCAGTCATGTTGGCCTCTCGCCTGGCTACACCATGACGACAGGCCTTGCCCCTGACGACGCTGACGAGGCTGAAACTCTGGCGTCTGTCGACCTGGACGGCATCAAGAGTGAGTACGCTGCTTCAGGTTCACTGCAGAACCTTTATCACAGGAAACGTTTACACAGAACCTTTAGCTTCACTTAACGTACAGTTTACAAACTACATGTAGCTGTACTCGACGTCCAACTTTAAATGTTTTATGTGTCCACAGATCGAAGTCTTAGCTTTAAACTCTCCTGTGATGCTTTACGTGTGACTTCATGTATAATTTTACACTTTGGTTTCAGATTCAGATTCAGATAGAACTTGACTGATCCCTTTGGTACCTCAGGGAACCTGTTGTTCTAGAAACAGCACAACACCGACAGAGACAGCAGCACACATCGGTTAAGAAAAAGCAGCAGTAGACAAGGAAAGAAACTGTTGGATAGGACAGCAGCACGGTGTGATAACAGTAATAATATAATACTACTACTAATAATAATAATAATAGGGCTGCAG